CCTATGACCCTAAAACCCTAAACCCTATAAGCCTAAACCTCATAATTAACCCTAAACCCCGAAACCCTAACCCGAAACTTTAAACTATGACCCTAAACCCTAAACCCTATAACTTATAACCCTAAACACCTTCTAACCCTAAACTCTCCCGCTTTTCAGACCCCTCCTCGCCGGCTCCGGAGGCCTCGGAGCTCCGCAGGAGCTCGCCGTAGGATCCCCGGGCATCCTGCATTGGCTCAGGGCTTCCTACAGCGGTTGAGGGTTTGGAGGGTTTAGGGTTGAGGGTTGAGGGTTTAGAGGGTTTAGGGTTGAGGGTTGAGGGTTGAGGGTTGAGGGTTTAGGGTTGAGGGTTTAGGGTTGAGGGTTGAGGGTTTAGGGATACAGGGTGTAGGATTTAGGGTTGAGGCTACAGGGTGTAGATGGGTTTAGGGTTTTGGGGAATAGGATGAAGGGTTGTGGGTTTAGGATGCAGAGTGTAAGGTTGCTACAAGGGTGGTTATAATGGTGTTACTGTGAACTACGATAATTCGGCCAGGGTTGCTAGGACGGTCATAGGCTGTGCGGTTGCGGGTCTTGTTTCAAGCCTATCCCTGTTAAAAGACTAGACAAGGCCCTATGCTCCAGGTCTTGAATAAGAACCCCTTAAAGCGGGTATCATGAACGATCTATCTGTTGTCACCTCTAAGACTCTAACACTCTAAGATGAACGACCCCCTCTTTTTCGCGATTTTGGTGTGCAAGGTTGGGGGTGTAGGCGGGGTTAAGGGTTGCGCGGCCGGGTGTACGGCCTTGGGGTATCCATTGTTTTGGGGTGTTGGGACTCGGTTTAGGGTTTAGGGTTTAGGGTTAACCCTAAACCCTAAACCCTAAACCCCGATTCTGGGCGGCTAGGGTTTCGAGCCGAGGGCTTTTGGGTGTAATGAACCACGGCAGAGACCCGAACTCCCACAACTCCGGTTGGTGTTTCGGCTTCTGTCGAATCCTTAACCGAGGACGCTTCATAGTGTCGGAATCTGGCAGCCGTGGGTTGACGGCTTCAGGGGGGAAGCGTCGTTGGGATGTCATGCTCGAAGACGTCTTTCACCCCTCTGCTTGGCAACTTCGCAACAATTCCGCCCAAATCCCCTCGACCTTTGACCCTGATTTCTGGAACTTAGAACTCCTACTTGTACATGGCTCAATCTCAAAACCACAAAAACCGTCTTGAGCAAGTCCTTCGTTGCAAAGGCTATGGCGGTTCCAGCGGCATTGATCCTCGAGGCAGTCGAGTTCGGGCCTATTAGGCCCAGGTTGATTAAGGATTTGCAAAGGAGCATCCAAAATCATCGAATAGGAAGGACACTTAAGGTGTTGGTAGGGTTTCTCAAGGTCCATCATGACGATGATTGTAAAAACAACAGGTGGCAATAATCAGTCAGCAAGCCAAAAACATATGGGTAGTTCTCTAAATTAGGGTCCCCTTTTAGGTCCCCAATATAGTACGGCACCCTTATAAAATGGACCCTAACAGGGACCCTAATTTAGAGAACTACCCATATCGCGTTTGCAACAAGCAGTTCCTGACCTTCGGCGCCAGTTGCACATGGCCGAGCCACTCCGAGAGCAACGCATCCAGGTTTGCCAGCTGGGCTTCCTGCGTCGCTGCTTCAGGGACGGCTTAGACTTTCGGGTTTAGGGGCTTCGGCTTCCGGGCTGTTCGGGCTAGATCTTTTGGTTTCTGGGCTTCTGGCTTTAGGGCCCTCGGTGGAGGGCTGGAAAACATTCAACGCCCTGGCATGTAGTGGTGACAGAAAATTGAAGCAGAGTTTAGGGCCTTCAGGGTTTCCGATGTTCTTGTTGAGTTCGTGCAGAAGGACTTAGGTGAACGTGGCGTGTCAACAACACTTCTATCGACATCGCACGGTATCGTCACCGAACCGTATCCCTGACGCAGAAAACATCAGACAACTACATCGGAGAAATCGACACTGCATGACACCGCATGTTGGTATGGGGGTTCGTGGCTAGGCCACGGCACAAGCAGCCCCAAGAACTCCTGATGCTTCAGGTTTGGGGGTTTAAAGCTTAAGGTTGCAATTCCCAAGAAGGAACGTCAAGAAAAGGATCAAACACCAGCAAAGAACGAGCAAGTGCTTCTTATGCAATAAAAAGGCCCCGCTACCTTCAATCAAGTCGTGATACACTTCCAAAAGCCGTCACAGGGTCAGGTCCCACTTTGCCCAAAAAATGTTCAGCCCTAGGCTCACGTTTCAACCTCAAACCTCAGAACTTCATGCCCAAACGCCCTCCGCCCGAAACGAAAAGCCATGAGTACGAAACCCGAAATACACCCTAAACGGCCATGCTCGGAATGCCACATTTCTAGGCCAAGCCACCTAACTGGAAGCTGCAGCCCAAAAGAGCACCTATACATAAAGCTAAGCCATGCTTCTGAAGGCATCCAAGGGAAAGTTCAACCGACAACTATAAAGCTAAGGCGTACAACCCCAAACTTTTCTTTTGAACCAATGTCTAATACACTATGGTATTATGCAACATATCAGGACATAATATGACACTATATTCTAGAACCAATTTGGGGGTTCCTTACCATAACTATAATAGTATAAGAAACCCCAAAACCCTATTCTAATTATTAAGGCCCCTACATTAGGTGTGAGCCTTGGTCCCGGCAAGGCCTTGGCATCTTCCAGCGACTCCTTCGCGCCTCCCAACTCCCAACGGATGCCTTGCAGGCCCTGTCCAGGGTTTAGGGTTTAGGGTTTAGAGTTTAGGGTTTAGGGTTAGCAGTCTCCCGAATTTCCGCCAGGGCTCTTGTTTTGGAGTCCAACGACTTGACGGTGGCTGAGTGCAATGATATGCACCTAAAATTTGTGAAATGAGCTTTTCCTTGGAGGGGATGATGTCATGGCCTCGTTTTACCCCCAGAAAATCCTCCAAGACGACGGTACCACTAGATCTTGGAGCTGCTACGGGCCTTCAATGATTCAACGATTCAGCTCTTGTCCGGTACATCACTCAAGATCACCCACCCAACATGGACTCGAACAAACTCACAAGTTCGGACCCTAGAGCTTTGTCAACACCAAAAGGACACTCGAAGAGCCCTGAGCCTGCAATGTTTGACTATCGGCCCTATGTTAAAAGAAATTCGGCTTCGCGATTTGTTGCTGTCAGTCTAGCAGCCCTGCCTCCACCTCGCGAGAACGCCACAGCGTCTCCTTCAAGCGGCTGCCCCCAATTCGGATAGGGTTGGGGTTTAGGGGTTCGGTCTTCCGCGTAGGCCATTTAAGGTAGGAGTCTGAATAAGCGATCTTTTACTACTTGAGGTCACAAGCTTAGGGATTTCAGCGTCTGGGTCGAGGAGAATGCAATGATTGCTCAAGGTCTTGACGGAATCTTTGTGAACAGGCGAAGGAAGTTCTGTGAGCTGGTTACTTCTCACGAAGCATAGTGACATAGTTCGCGCTGCAACGAGCTGATGGTTTCTGAGAGATAAGGACTTCTTAACGGCTGCGAGTACACTGTGTGAAGTCGGCCACCTGTCTAAGTCTACTCAAGCGACTGCTTGGCACGTACCTTGAGGCTACAAACAACCCCTGTTAAGCCTTGCTTAGGGCTACGGACTACTGTAGCGACCTTTTAATTGGAATAGAGTTTTGGGCTCCTCTATAGTAGAGCTACAATAAGGACCCCTAAGAATAATAAGTAATTATGTAGGCTTCTATATCAATTACTCCAGTTTCGGTGCTTTTCGCGGTCCGACGGCGGCCCTCTGCACTTCGCCTCCTTGCCTTCGGCCCCGAGACCTCCCCGGTCTTTGTGCGACTGACAGCTAAGGCAACGACGACGACAACGATAATATCTCGTCTGCACGATGCTTTAGGGTTTGGGTTTAGGCTTTAGTGCGATTGTTTTTGTCACCGTCATTCTTGTTACCACCACCACCGCCGCCGCTACCGCCACTGCCACAAGTAGTTAGTCTAACACTCCTTTTGAAACTTTTGAGAAGGTATACCACGGGCCGCGAGTCCTCGAAGGCTTTGAAGGTGGCGGGCTGGTATTGGGCGCGACCGGCCTTGAACGACACAGGTGTTGCTGTATAGCTTCATCATCAAGCCTGATGTGGTTTGAGAGGTTGCTCTAGCGACTGGATCGACAGGGGAGTTTCCGAAAATTAGGGGTACCATATTTTGGGGCCTTTATAATAAGGATCCTACTTACTATTTAGGGCACTATATTAGGGTCCCCTATTTTCGGACACCCCCACAGGGATGCCGGGATTGATCCAAATTTGGGCTCACGGGAAGAACGTTCTTCACTCAGCAGACAGAGCCCTGATAAGCACTGGATACCGAAAACGAGATCGCTGTCCATCTCAAGCCGCTCCTCTTTGGGGCTTGTGGTTTAAACCAAACTCCAAACTACAAAGCATTGGAAAGACCAGTGATGGAACATCCCAGCAACTTGCAGTCGATTTTTCTACCCTTGCAAGACTTCCAAGTATGGTACCTGCGACTCCAAACTTTATTCGGTATGGAGTCTTCAGAAGCTTGTAATACTACACAAGTGAGATCATGTCTCGGGCTAAGGACTCCGATACTCAATATGAGCTGAGAGTCCTTGTAGCCCACGATGGGCATCACCTGCTCTTGTATGGCGCCCGTAATGTGCACCGCATCTGCTCCCACGAAGGCATGCGCGGCGACATCCTGCTCGAAAAGCGCACGCAACTCCACAAAGAAGCACCAAAGCCGTATACTCTCGATGGCCCACGTCCCAAAGCCCTAAGCCACGTGCACGGAGAACTTGGACATGGGACAATTGAGGGTTTGAGATTTCACGTAGTCTGAATCCCCAGCAAAACAGGCACAAGAAAACAACGACAAACCGGCACCCCTACACCCTAAAGTCCTAAACTCTAAACCCTACACCCTATAATCCGAAACGCTAAACCCTAAACCTTCCACCCTAAAATCCTAGACTAAAGCGAATCTGCAAAACGAAACCCGGGCTGTACGGAACGCCTCTGAGTCTCAGCCCCAACCTCCCCCAAAATCTTCAAAAAAAACCAACGAAGCAAGCGCTCCCGTGGCCACTGGCCATCCATCATCACGGCCTTTTAGGGTGGGTTTAGGGTTCAGGGCTTAGGGTTTAGGGTTTTGGGTTTAGGGTTTAGGGCTTAGGGTTTAGGGTTTAGGAGGGTTTAGGAGGGACCGGCAGGCTCTGCGTGGTGTGCTACGGCCTATAGCTTGAAAGGACTTTCGAGCAGAAAGGCTGCCACGAAGTGTGGAGGGAGAGGCCTCTAAGAGTCTGTTGGGCCTTCAAACTTAATGACGGGGCCTTACTTATACTTACAGGGTTTTGGCGTGTATTGTCCGAGGATCATAATAAGGAACCCCAACACAGTGTTGGAAAATGTACTTAGGCCACATATGAAATCAGAGATGAGGGCTTCAGTGGAACAGGGTTGGGCTCTCGGGTTTGGAAGTGCCAAAATGCACGCCCACGGTCCTCCGGATCCAAGCCCTAACTCCGAACCTGCATAACGCCGAAGCCGCTTGGAGAGAACGCACGAAGCCCCGGTCCAATACCCAACTATGACTGATTACAAGGGCCTGGAGGGTGTTGGGTTTTGTTGTACGATAAAGTTATGGAGCCCTAAGGAACGATCTTGGCAATTATATACTCTCAAGTGTCGATACCAATAGTGCCGAAGAGCTGAAACCGAGCTGGAAACCCCAAGGACGGAAGACTGAACCCGGGCTGAATTTCGACTGCTGAAAGCCGTCCCCGAGACAGACCAAAGCCAAGAAATAGACATTAAAGCGCCTGAAAAATCAGAATCGCCCAGTATAGTACAGTTAGAAATAGACACTACGGAGCCTGAAAAATCAGAATCGCCCAGTATAGCACAGTTACACAGGGACTCCGTGAGTGAAGAATGAATATGAGTAAGTATGCCGACTCTTATATTACTGACCTGTAGGCTGACACGTTATTGAACAAGTCTCGCGTCTAACTTTGAGTGTGGTGGTTAATTCCTTTCCCTACAGCCTGCCTACACGGCCTACACCCGCAAAACACGAAACTCTTCGTCCCGAAAGGAGCCCCGGAGGAAGGCCTTCAGGAGGCCATCCAGAATCACATCCCAGCGGTTCTGGAGACTGCCTTCCAGACTGCTGATCCCTCCGTGGCCGTGTGGGCTTTGTCACTCAAAAATTCTTGGAGTTGGCACGACCGACTCAACAAGAGAAGCACATGGGCTAGGACGACAGGTCCGGAGCTTAGAGCTTGGAGCTAAGGCAAAAAGAGGCAGAGGCAAACAGACAAAGCGATATACAGGGAGGACCAAAGTAGACAGAGGGAGTAGACAGTAAATCGAGCGGAATCAAGACCCGTAGTCACGCCGCAGTCTTCTGAACCCTCGACATGGAAATCTGACTCCAAAAACACCTTTCTAACAGCCCGTAAAATCTCCAAAAGCTTAAAGAACAACTCTCCGACCTTGCTCCAAGGTCCAGCCACTGAGGCCCTGCTCCTGGAAAACGGACTCGTCAGTGCGACACTCCGAGTTTGGGGCTCAGGGTGGTCAGGCTCTGGTGGTTTTCGTGCTTTCGAATTTTGACATTTTTTTGTATTTAGGGCTTGGGGTGGGGCTCCGGGGTTTCAACCTTTCAGCGCTTAAATTAAAGTATTTTTCCAACCTCGGGCATCGAGCGAGGTGCTTAGAGGCTTACAGGGAGCTCAGGATTTGAGACCCAAAGGTGGGTCCTGCACTTCTGTTAATTGCTAGCGGGGTCGGGGGCTTCCCGGTTGAGGTTTCAACCCACCCTAAACCCTAAACCCCAAACCCTAAAGCCTAAGACGGCCTCAAGGAAATGCCCGGACTGACTTTGTGGATCATCGGGCTCAGTTGGAGCCCTGCTGCCCCCCCCTTTGCCCAGCTCCTCCGCTTGGAAGATGCAGAAGTGAAGCCGGATGCCTGCATGTGCTTCTGCATGTAAGTATTAAACTTATTAAACAGCAGGTATAAAACCTTGCTTGAATCATCCGTTCAGGTGGGTCAGGCTCTGGAGCTCATTCTTCGGAAAATGTATAATTCATGAAGGCCGGCTGTGCTCAGTAGCCATGGACAACAAAGCCCTAATGGTTCTGATCCCCACATCTCTTCAGGGTGCCGGGTTAATGTTGCAAGTAGCCTGTGCTGAAGTTCGTCTACGGAGACGTTCCTGCAGTAAAATTCTTCAGATGCGACATGGGTTGCAAGCATCGCCGCCAGTCTTGCTACTGTTGCTAGTGCTGTCCCTGTCATGATGCATCGTCTAGCGACAGCATTCGCAGCATCAGCTGCTGCAGTATCAGACTGTCATTGCTGTTGCCGCTGTTGTGTAAGGGTGGCAGCAGTTTGCAGTAGCAACAGCAGTAGCACAGCAGCCTCAACACAAGCCATGGAGTTGATACTGGTGGTGCTCATTCTGCTTGCCTTCCTGTTGTTGGAGCCCTTGTGTCTGCTGTCGCAGCGGCAGCAGCTGTCAAACCGTTATGAGTCAGAAAGGTGATGAACACCTCTGGTCAAACCCTATCCCATCCTAATATATATATATATATATATATATATATAGGCCTGAGTTATCAGAAGAGTGTTTTGGCGTACATTGGAGTATAGATATACTACTGGACCCGAAGCTTAACTCTGCTAGTCTTGGCCCCCGGCGACGACTAAAATCAAATTTCGCACGGACCTGGAGGCGGCACACAAAGTCAACAAAACCCAGCCTCAACTCTCTAAACCCGGATGGTTTGGGTTTAGGGTTTAGGGTTTAGGGTTTAGGGTTTAGGGTTTAGGGTTTAGGGTTTAGGGTTTAGGGTTTAGGGCTTAGGGCTTAGGGTTAGATTACTGGACACCCTCATTCCCCAACACCCAAGACCTGTAAAGCATTATGAACTCTGGCATCCTATAAAGAACATCACGTCCTGTAGAGCCAAAGACCAACGCGCCGATCGCGTGAACCCTAAAAGACTAGTTGTACTATACAAAAGCAACAAAATTAGCGACAATCGCAATATTCACAATTCAACAAACATGCTGTGAGCACCATAACCACCACCATCACCATCACCATCACAATCATCATCACCACGACAATCAGAATCCCGGTGCCTTCGAGCATGGTTGTCTTTGCAGCCACAAGAGGCCGACTGGTAAATCGAAGCCTCCGGTGCCTGGGTTGAGGCAAGGGTTTACTTGGCTCTAAAGCACCCCCGGAGCCTTAGAGTCCTGAGAGCCCTAAACCCGTAAAGCCTATTTGTTTCCTTAGAAATGATCTGTTCCTCGCATACGTATGTTTTTGTAGTTTTAGTATATACATATATATATATATACACACACACCCACCCACCCTCCCGCACATCACATGCATATACAGATGCAAGCATTCGTCTATTTCGCGCTTTGCTGGCTTAAGACTAAGCACCGAAGCTGGATCTCCGCTGCTTCGAACGCCCTCTGCGATGCGTCGTGGGCGATGCCGTCCTTCGGCCGCCAAGCGGAGGGTTTAGGGTACAGGGCTTGGGAACTACAGGGTAGAGGGTTTAGGGTTTGGGCGTGTTGATTGTCCGGTTGGGCAAACTTGCGGTTCTCCTTTGCATGCTTTGAGTTTGCTGCTTTAGTGTAGTTGGGAGAGAGGTCGGGTCTTGGTTTCTGCGGTTGAAAGCTCTCTAGTTGAGAAAATTCTGGTTTGGGGTTGTGGAGGGGTTTGGGTATGATTTGAAGGGTTTCGGCTTAATGGCTTCAAGTGTGGAGGGGTTTGGGTATGATTCGAAGGGTTTCGGCTTACTGGCTTCAAGGCTTCGTGCTATCGAACCATCTATCGTTATCTGCTTCTTTTTCTTTATCTCCATCTGCGTATGGATCCAATTGCCTGCACATTAGTCGTAGCAGGCGGATGACTGAGAGACGGGTCTTTAGGCTTCCGGGTTAGGGGCCTTGCACAAGGGAACTAGAAGCGCTGACTCGGGATAAGTGGCCTTGTAGATACAAAAATACGCTTGAAACGACGGCAAATACGACTTCTATCCACGTGAACAACCTGCTTGCCAAGTCCGCTGACCTTTCCGTCTAGCCTAGTCTAGTCTAGTACAGTGTAGTATAAGTGTAGTACATTGTAGTAAGGTAAAGTATAGTACAGTCTAGTATAGTATCGAAATCGGCGAACTTGCTGTCACACATCCAGCTTCTACACCGTTCCTGTTGCTGTTGTTGTTATATGACAAAACCTCGTTGTCGCCATCCTGTCTGATGAGCTTTTCGCTATACAGTAGTTACCAACAAAGAAGGCCCACATCTACTTCCTGAGCGTTTGTCGAAGTAGGGTTGCCAAAGCGGCTACGCCACTTCAGCGCATGCTCATAGCTACTCCTCAATTCTCAAATGTTGCCACGACGGAGGTCCAGCTCAAGGGTAGCCATGCGCATCGCTGCGAGCATGTCAAGCACCACCTGCACTGTCGTGCTCAGGGTTTAGAGTTTCGGGCTTATCAAAACCCAAAACGCTGAACTGTGAACGCGAAAACAACCCAAGCCCTAACCCAATACCCCAAGCCAAAACAACCCTGGAGTACGGCCATCTAGACACTGAACAATAACAAACCTTCAAGCCCATAAACCTAAAAAACAGACCCGCAAACCACGTCAGCCCTTAACTCCGGAAGCCCTAAACACCCAAAACCCCAAACCCCCAAAGATCCCTCATAGGCTTATAGATCCTCTGTAGAAACCTTGTACCAATTTCTTACAGAACCCTCAACAGAACCCTTCACGAGAACCTTCCCGCGCTGCCTGCCAGTTCCCACTCGGGGCGCAAGCGCTGATGACGGAGCCTCTCTCCCAGTTCAGTGTTCAGGGTTCAGGGTTTAGGCTTAGGGTTTAGGGTTTAGGGTTTAGGGTTCAGGGTTTAGGGTTTAGGGTTGTTGGGTGTGTTACTGTAAGCTTGATGCAGTTTCGGGCTACGGTTTATGTTGAGTTGATGAAGCATTTTTGAAGCGCTCTCTCTCTCTCTCTCTCGCAGACGCTCTTTTTACGGTTTGTTGCATGAGGATCTTATGCTGCTTGCGATCCAAGCTCGCATATCGGGGTGGAGTTGTGCTAAGGCAGGCTTTCTAATGTTTTCTACGGTGAACTCAAACCCCTCCAACAATGACCCAGATGCTTTCAGAAAGAAGGCCCAGTGCCCGAGGCAGGGCCGCACTCAAACCCGGGAGCCCTTGGAGCCGAAGCCCCAAATTTGTTTAGGGTTTAGGGTGTAGGGCTATGCCCAAACCCCTAAATTCCGTCGTCAAAACCTGCTGCCCCAAACCCCTCAGCCTGATCCTGAATCCAGAGCCATTTGTAGCGGCCAAGGGGCTGTAACTGACCACGTCGGCAGCGAGGTGCCGCGAAGGCAGCGAGCCTGAGCGTGTCTGTGTCTCTTTCGCTTTGTCTGTCGGTCCTGCCGGCGCATGCAAGTTTCTACCTGTCTGTCTGCCTGATTCCGTGACTGTCTGTCTGTCTCTGCCGGTCTCTGTGCGTCTCTGTGCGTGTCTCTCTGTCTCTGTCTGTCAGTGTGTCTCTGTCTGGCTGTCCTGTCTACCTGCGCGTAAGTGCCTGCGTGTCTCTGAGTGTGTGCATTTGAGGCTGGGCGGGGGTTCGCGGCTTAATGCCTCTTGCCTGGGATCTTCTTTGTGCTTTGACCTGGAGGACAAATCGAATTCCGAAGCTGGGGCCATACAGGGCCCCGGGGGCTTAGGAGTTCTATTTCCGGAAACTGGGCCTGTGGTTTAGACTGCTTGCAACGAGGCGTCGACCCCTCGGTGAACCGGCTTGGAGGGAGGACTTAGTAGGTATGTAATTAAATAAGTGGTTATGGGTAGCCGAAAAGGAGTCCTGATTGGGATTCTGCAACTTGTACCTCAGTCTGTAAAACAAATACCTACGAAGTTCTTCCNNCCCCCCCCCCCCCCCCCCGCGACCCTCCAAGGGCGAGAAGCATTACAAAGAAGCAACAGGAGCGTTGCATGCAACAGAAAGGCCGAAAAGCTTACAGCAAAAGTCCCGCGACATCTAGCATCAAGGGCTCCCCACCCAACTCCGAACCCTCAAATCCTGATGTTGCCTCGATTTGGGGGTTTCCGAAAATAG